AGAACCGGTCCCGGGTCCGGTTAAGGTTCTGGTATCATTAAATGATACATTGCAGAACATTTTGTCCAAAGTTGCAGCTGCTGAATCCTGGATGGGTTCTGATGAAGAATCTTAGAGCGGTTCTGGTTCCTGATCCTGAGTCCTTTGGGCCGATGATCCTGATGTTTGGATGCTGAGGCTCTGAAGCCCGTAGCGTTCTGTCCCATCATGGTCCAGTTCTCAGTTCTTCATCCAAACTGGACCTGAAGGTTCTGAAGGTTCTGTTCAGCATTTAGAGCTACAGAAACACAGCAGACTCTTCCTCCTGCACATGTGGACCCTGAAGGAGGTATTAGGTGTGATGCTGTGGGCTCCCCAGCTGCTTGGTCACCATGGCAACCACTGACTCAGCTTTTTCTTTTCCCTCTTTGGGTTTCCACCAATTATGACTAAGATCAGATTATTATTATCAGTTGTGCCTTCTGCTCTTTCCTCTTTTTTTATTTTACTCCTCGGTTCTGGTTCATTTTTATACGGAAGAATTTTTTATTTTTTATTCCTAATCTGCAGATTTAATCTAGAAGATCGTTAATGGACAGAAATAAAAATGAAGTAAAGTTTTCAGTAAGTGTTTGTTAGTTCCTGCCTTTCTTTCTGTTGCAGGACGTTTGTTTTTATCGATCAGATTCTGATTTTCTGGTCTCTGAATGTTACATGTGAACCCAGTCGTTCTGATGATGCAACCATCGGCCGCTCCGCTCCGCTCAGACGTTTGAGCTGCTGTTAGGAATTAAAAGCGTGATCTGATCACAACGTTTGAGTCTCTGTGGTTCTTCTCATCCGGTTTCTGCTCAGATTCTGGATCTTCTTAGATCTTGGAGTTGAACTCTGGTTGATTCCTTCTGATTCCCACAGAGGGGGTCAGATCAGGAGAGTCCAACATTTCAGGATTTCCCCCTGTGAACCAGAACTTTATGAATAAAAAAAAGATCTGCTATTTCCAGACGATCAGGATCTACTGAAGCCTTTAGACCTTCCTGGCAGGGGCGGATTTACCTTTAGGCAATACTAGGCAGCTGCCCAGGGCCCCAAGTTCCTGGGGGCCCCATAAAACTGTTTCCATGTATGGTTAATACAATGTTTCCTTAATTATGTTTCTGATAAAAATCCTTTGGCTAAAATACCATCAGAACGCTGATAATAAGTGTGTCCCCAAATTTCCTCAATCCGCCCCTGCTTCCTGGATGTCATGAAGCATCTTCCTGAGGCTGAACTTCTCTTTTTGATGAAAGCTAATTTTAGCTGCAATATTCTCAGCAGCAGTTTCTAATCCCAGATTTTCTACATTAGCAGCACTAATCTCAGCCTCCATTAGCAGTTAGCCTGCTAATTTACTTCCTGTTTATAATGGAACTTTGAAAGTTTTGTCTTTATATTATGTTCACCTTGTTTATGTTCTGTTTTTTGTTCACTCTAAAAACTTTTCGTTGCTATATAATTAAGATTTTATATTTATTTACGAATTTCATTTTAATGAGGGTTTATTATGATCGGTTTTGTAATGAACATAAACTTTATATTAAGTCCCTCCCAGCAGCGGAGCTGGTTTTTTGCTGCAGGTTGTTCATTAGACCTCTTAAAAAAAAAAAAAAAATTTTGATTTCATAGCAGACTGGATGATTTCCCGTTTTTTGGAACCTGACAAACTCAAAAATCCCAATAATTTCCTTCTCTGACGATGTTTATGTCTGCCCCACAGGCACTGAACTGATAACTGCCTATAATGAAAAACCGTCTTTTTTTTTAATTTTATATCTTTTTACATAAAAAATAGGAAATTGTATCAGCTTTCTCCTGATATAACTGCCATCTTTGCATGGTTATGGCATCAAAATGTATAATAAAAACTTGTACACTACCCCCAAACTTTGCAATTTACGTAATTTAATGGATGCAACATGAGTAAAGAAAATACCAATGTCTTTGTACAAAGTATAAACAAAGAAAATAATTTGATTTTAACCAGAGTTGACTTCTAGATTATGAAGTTTTTAACTATTTTTAATCAAGAACATTTTTATTTTCTGTTTTACGGATATTTATTTAAAATACGTAATGCACATGTAAATATATGCAAATAAAAAAATTGTTTTTTTACATGGACTTGTTGAGAATTTTATTAACTTTTAAATGGTATTATTGCCAACTTTGAAAGGCATTTTTTATTTATTTTTTTTTATTTTATATATAAGTACCGGTAATAGAAAAATTCTTTACCTTTCCCCTAAAATTGTGATGG